GTAGGCAAGATCTGAGGACTGTCATCATCTCTAATAAAGCTTAGACAAGAAGTCCTGTCGCAAGAAAACGAGGCTATCAGGCTTCTGAGGGCTCCTCCGGGGCAGGGACGGTTTTGAGAAATCGTTTCTCCTCGGCGACCTCTGGGGTGCGACTCTCTGAGGAGGGTCGCAGCGCTGCCAGTTCGGTTGTTCCCTGCCGGTTCGCCGTTCAGGGCACCGAGGTGTCAGCGTCCCCATACGATCCTTCGAGGAGGATCGTAGAGCGGTCAGTTCGGTTGTTCCCTGCCGGTTCGCCGCTTCAGGGCACCGTAGTGACTGTTCAACCAAGGGACGGTTTTGAGAAATCGTTTTTCCTCTGGGGTGCAACTCTTTGAGGAGGGTTGCAGCGCTGCCAGTTCGGTTGTTCCCTGCCGGTTCGCCGTTCAGGGCACCGAGGTGTCAGCATCCCCATACGATCCTCTGAGGAGGGTCGTAGAATGGTCAGTTCGGTTGTTCCCTGCCGGTTCGCCGCTTCAGGGCGCCGTAGTGACTGTTCAAACAAATCCAGAGGCCAGTCTTGAGAGACTGGTTCCCCTAGTAAATTTCTGGCAGCGTGGAAACTACTGCCACATATTTCTCAGTGGGTCCTGCACACTATAGAAAAGGGTTTCAGAATTCAGTTCGGTTCTCGTTCGCCCAGATTTCTAGGGGTCCTCCTCTCATTGGTGGACCCCGAGCAGGCTTTGGTTATGGAGCAGGAAGTACTGTCACTTCTGCAAAAGGAGCTGTAGAAGGGGTTCCTCCTCCCAGCAGACAGCCATTACTTCATTGTTTCCGAAAGAGGATGAGGGAGGTTCCCGAGGTTTGCTTTCGGGGGCGAAGCATACCATTATCGGGTTCTTCCATTCGGCCTAGGTTTATTACCCCACACCTTTACAGTATGCGTGGATGCAGCTCTGGCTCTTCTGAGACTCCAGGGCATTCGCGTATTATACTACATCAATGATTGGTTGTTCCTAGCTCAATCTGAGTTTATGGCAGTTCGGCATCGAGATGTCGTTCTGTCTCATTAAGGATGTTGGAGTTGCCTCTCAACGCCAAGAAGAGTGTGCTCTGAGGACCACTTTTCTAGGTGTAGCAATTCTTACAGCCGTAATGGGGTATATCTAGGCCAGTCACTCACTGTGAAACAGTTTCAGACGGGTGGGTCTCATGGCAGTTGCGTCCAACGTATTACTTTTGGCCTTCTGTTCATGAGACCCCTGCAGTGGTGGCTCAGGACCAAGGGGTTTTTCTCCGAGGGGAAATACGTTTTCGCATGATCAAAGTCACGCGGCTATGCCTTCGTGCTTCGGTCATGTGGAAGAACCTTGGTTCCTCGCCCAGGCCCAGTGTTGGGGGCTTCTTGTCGACGCATATTGCTATCGACGGATGCTTCCCTCACAAGTGGGGGCGATCATGAGTGGTTGCTCGGCGAATGGCGGACAACACACTGGTGGTCTCGTATATCAGAGCAGATATCCTGTTGAGGCAGGGGCTGAGGCCCAGGGGATTGGAGACTTCACCCCGAGGTGGTGGAGCTTCTTAGGGAGAACTTTGGTCTAACTAAAGTCAAGTCGACCTTTCACATCGTTTGTACAACGCATTGCTCTATATGGTTCCCCCTCACGCAGCCAGCTCTTCTCAGACTGGATGCGATGGTGCAGGTGTGGCCGAGGCTGCACCTGTACGCATTTCCCCCGATATCTATGCTCCCGGAGGTTCTGGAGAGGGTTCGCCGGGAAGGGGCTCATCTGCTACTAGTAGCCCCATACTGGCCGACTCGAGTTTGGTTCTCGGACTTTGTCTCTTCTGGACGGCTCTCCCATGGAGATTCCGTTCAGGAGGGACCTGCTGTCCCAGGCAGGGGGCACGATATTTCACCCTCGACCGGAGTTGTGGAAACTGTGGGCCTGGCCTCTGAGGGGGCCAGGCTCATAGAATCCAGTCTCTCGACTGAGGTCGTTGAGACATTCTCCATTCCAGAGCTCCTTCCACGAGAAGACTGTATGCACTGAAATGGAAATTATTCTCCACCTGGTGTGGTGAGCGTCAGTTAGATCCTGTTAACTGCCCTGTTGGTTCAGTTCTCGATTTTTCTGCAAGACCGTTTCTCTGCTGGATTATCTCCTTCCACCTTAAAAGTTTATGTGGCGGCTATTTCGGCCTATCATACCCCTCTGGGGGGTACTTCTATTGGGAGAGATCCTCTGATTACTCGTTTTCTCCGTGGTACATTGAGGTTGAGACCTGCACTGCACTCTAGAGCACCGGCTTGGGATTTAGCCATTGTACTTGAGGGTCTGGCTCTGGCTCCCTTCGAGCCTATTGAAGAGGTTTCAGAAAAATTCCCCACTTTGAAAGCTTTATTTCTCCTTGCTATTTCATCTATCAAGAGAATTGGAGATTTGCATGCCCTGTCGGTTGCTCCGTCATGTCTGGAATTTGCACCTGGTATGGTGAAAGCATTTCTATACCCTAGACCGGGTTATATTCCTAAGGTCCCAGTTAATGTTGGGGGCCCAATAGTGTTGCAGGCCTTTTATCCTCCACCTTTTAATACCCCAGATCAGGAAAAACTGAACCTGTTATGTCCAGTTCGGGCATTGGATGCCTACGTTCACAGAGCTGCCCTGTGGCGTAAGTCAGAGCAGTTATTTGTATGTTTTGGGTCACTCAGAAGAGGGTGCCCTGCATCTAAACAGGTTATGAGCAAATGGATAGTCGAGGCTGTATCATTGGCTTATGAAGCGGCCGGTCAGCCTTCACCTATGGCTGTACGGGCCCATTCTACAAGGAGTATGGCGGCCTCTACGGCCTTAATTTCGGGTGTTTCCCTTCTTGACATTTGTAATGCGGCAGGTTGGTCCTCTCCACATACATTTGTCAGGTTTTATGACCTTGACCTCTCCACTCCTGGGGCGAGGTTGCTTGCTTCTTAGTGTGCGCAAGGACTTCACACAGAACGGGCATTTGTCACTATGGCGTAGTGGGTATGGGGTTCCCACCGCGTCTCAAACGCAGCTCGAAGTTCCCTCGAAAGGGAACGTCTCAGGTTACGTATGTAACCCTGGTTCCCTGAGAGGGAACGAGACGCTGCGTTTGCCTGCCATACTTCCTGCATACCCTGATCGACTTACTTCAGACTTTTCAGAAGCTGTCGCGGTCTGTTTTCAAGGGTGCTTTATAGTTTCCTGGTCTATGACGTCACCTATGACGTATCGGGCTTCCATTGGACTGATTTTACACGTGCTTCATGACGCAATCACGCAGAGCGTTCCCACCGCGTCTCAAACGCAGCGTCTCGTTCCCTCTCAGGGAACCAGGGTTACATACGTAACCTGAGACGTTTTTATTGCACAGAGCAATAAGTTACAACCAATGAATGCAATGAGTTTGTTATTGTGTGTGCATTATAATGGAATGTCTATTGCAATAATTTCCCTTCAATACAAAAATGGATAGCTTAGTATGTAATGCGAATGCACATATATGTTATTTGTGCTTTCATTGCACAGAAGTTAGATCTTTGCAGTTTCCAATGCAATGAAACTGCAAAAATATTATCCCTTCAATGCTTACCGGAATGTTATTTCTTTTATGCACTGCTGTGCAATAATTTAACTTCAAAACACAAATGAACAAGTTAGTTGTATTATGCAATGAATGGCGAAAGCACATTTATTTGTGTTTTTTCCCCATTGCACAAAGGAATAAGTTAGATATTTAATTCATGCAATGTAACAGCAAAATTGTGATTTCTTCAAGGCACATCGGAATGACTTTTAGTTGTTCTTGTATGCACTGCACTGCAACAAGTGCATAGCTTATATGTTATTCTTAATGCAAAACGTTTGATCGTGTGTGCAGTGGAACAGCTAAGTTAGTCAATACAACACCAAAAACGTTATCTCTTCGATGCACATTGGAATGAGCGAGGTCTGGTATGCATTGCAATACGAAAGCACATGTTATGTGTTTTTATTGCACAGAGCAATAAGTTAAATATTTTATACAATCAAATGCAACAGTAGAGATGTTATCTCTTCGGAGTGAGTTACTTATGTACGGTGGCCCAGTAGTGCACAACACAACGAAATTCAAAAAGCAAACATAAGTTCACAACACAACGGAAACAAGCCACAACACAACGAAATAGCCACAACACAACGGAATAGCCACAACACAACGGAAATGATCCCAACCACTAGGGGGCAGCGTCGGCACTAAAAAGCCGATAGATAGATATTTCCCTTAGGAGTCGAATCGGGCAATCGGGACCTTTCTTTTACTGTCTTTGATCGGGACACGACAAGAGATTATCTGTGTAAGTGATAATAATAATAATAATAATAAGTTTAATTTATATAGCGCCTTTCCCAAGCTCAAGGACGCTTCACAATGACAGTAGATAAGCAGTTTACACATAAACGGACAATGTGTAATGTGATGGCATATTAATCTGTGTAATTTATTTTTTAAATTAACAAAAATGTTTTTAACTGAATCGAGCAGAATAAACTACTTTCGATTTAGACAATTTAGCTCTGCTTTTGTTTCATGAACACCCTGATAGTTCGCTGAAATGTTATCATTTCAACCATAGTCTTCCTAGGCTGGCATGTTTTGTCCATTCTGTGGAAACGATCTGAGAACTATTACAGCCTTTTGCAGCTCGTGTGGCTCTAATGTCCAGTTTTTGTCTGAAGAGGTTGAACGTGGTATGTATGCGTTAAGTCTGCCTTAGAACCTTAAGTTTAAGTCTAAACCTTAAGTTACTGTTATTTGAGCACACTAAGTTTATTAACTAAATTCTGAGTCAGATGTTTCTACCAATTAAAGTTGTTACTTAATAATACCCTTTCTATATTGTATTCTTTGTTGATGGTTAGAGTCCATCCAATCCACTGTACTCGCCTTTGGACGCTGTCCGGACAGCTATTGTTGGCGAGTTGAATGGTTCTGGACCCCATTACGGTTACCGCACAATGTGCCAGACCCTGCGTCAAAAATACAATCTTACAGTGAGAAGGCAAGATGTAATGCTTATGATTGCAGACCTTGATCCATTAGGCATTGAACAACGCTCAAGAAGAAGATTTGTGAGAAGGGTTTACCATTCTTTGGGGCCAAATCATGTCTGGCACATTGATGGCTATGACAAATTAAAACCATACGGTTTGGCTTTAAGTGGTTGCATTGATGGTTACTCACGCAAAGTGATGTGGTTAAACTGTGGAGCTAGCAATAACAACCCAGACATTATAGCTGCTTATTACCTACAGTGTGCCACACAATTTGGAGTCATACCAAAGCTTCTTCGCACAGACTGTGGCACTGAAAATGGAACTATGGCTGCAATCCACTGTTCTCTGAGATCAGTCCACACAGATGACCTTGCAGGGGCTTCAAGCCACATGTATGGCTCCTCAATCACAAACCAACGAATTGAAAGCTGGTGGTCATACTTCAGAAAACAAAGGTATAATAGTCTAAACAGTCATGATATTTAGGGGTTTTCTTGCTGAATTTTAGTTTAATAATCAATTATACATTAGAAAATAACCTATTAAATTAATTCTCAGCTTCACAGACAAGGCTTGTCCTAGACTAAAATGCATGTTTGAGCTGTTTTAAATGAGAGCAACTTGCACTGCCAGGATCTTAAAAAATGTCAGTGCCATTGTTTTGTCACAAGATGTACACCAGTAATGTTTTTGTTCTGGGACGTGTTTATAAAAGCTACTTAAATGCCCTAAGTGAACTAAGGCCTAATCCTGGCTTATTCTAAGACCTGTCTGTGAAACCGGGCCTAAACGTCTAAAAGGGATGTTGATATTGTTGGTTTATTTACACAGGACTCAGTTCTGGATGGATCTTCTGAATGACTTGAAAGAGAGGCAACTCTTTAATGGCAGTCATGAACACATATGCTTGGTGCGTTTTGTGTTTTTAAGTGTGCTACAGATGGACCTTAATGAATGCAAAGAAATTTGGAACACTCACACCATTAGGGCAGTTAAATAGTCTCGCTGTCCTTCTGGTAAACCAGATGCAATGTACGCTCTTCCACACAGGTCAGTATATGACTATTAAATATTTAACTTATTTGCATTTTGTAATCGAATTGTTAAAATTATATTTAACATACAACTTCAAGCTCACCATAATGTTGTTCTAAAGCCATATGTCTTACTTCCATATAACAAAAATATTTGATATGATACACAATATTAGTCTCACTCAGTTTATTTTCATTGTGTTCTTCTGTAAAATTAAACTGAAAGGAGATTGTGGCTAACATTCTATTCCACAGAAGAAAGTCATTCAACTTTGGATTGATGAAGTTTAGTAGACAGTTTTATTTTTGGGGAAAAGATTTTATAATTAAAGGTACAGCGATAAAGGTTAATTTGTATTTAGTTTTCACACCAAACTTTTTCCTCTTTCACTTAAAGGTTTAACGGGAGAGAATGCGGATTTCGTGTCTCAGAGGAAGACTTGAACCAGTTTTTCATTGAACCTACTCTTAGTACATGTCAAGATGAACAGCTTCAGGCAAACTTTGAAGAACTGCACGCTCAAAGCAATCTGACTACACCTCACACCTGGGAGACTGGTGTGGAGAACTATATAACTTTAAAAAACATGGCCCGCATTTAAAGGGTTAGTTCACCCAAAAAAGAAACTTCTGTCAGTAATTACTCACCCTCATGTTGTTCCAACCCCGTAAGACTTTCGTTTATCTTCGGAACACAAATTAAGATATTTTTGATTACATTTGAGAGCTGGACCACTCCTCCATAGGCTTCTAAGGGATTGAAACTTGCCGGCCCAGAAAAGTTATTAAAGACATCGTTAAAATAGTCCGAGTGACTACAGTGGCTCAACCTTAAGTTTATCAAGCGACGAGAATATTTTTTATGCGCAAAAAACAAACAAAAATAACGACTTTATTCAACTATTCATTTCCTTCTCTGTGGGCCTCGAGTGAGTTCACGTAGTGTAACAGCGCAGCGCTTCTTGTGTCAGCGCAATCTTCAGTTGTGCCTTCGTCATCTGTGAATTTAACAAGCATGTCGTGTGATGGGTTGTATGATGCACGTCTGAATCCACGAATTGCTCCATCCCAAACATCGGCTCTATTTATGTTGAATCTGCTGCAAGATGTTTTTATTATCTTCAATGAGAGATCTGACACAATGTCTGCAGAAGTTAATACATCTGTGCTGTAATAAATAAAGAGGTTTTGATTAAGCTAAGCAAAATAATAATGAAATAAAAAAGTCAATACATTTAGGAACATGATATTGAGACGGGAGTAATTAATAAATTAAGTACCTTTCTTCTTGAACATGTTGTCTGCTATCATCGGACGCTTCCGAGTCACTTTCGATTATTATTGGGGCATAGAGACGTGTGTAATTGCTGTAAAAAGACAGATTAACAGGAATTTACATCCATTGACATACAAAAGTAATTGTAGGCTACTTGTAAAGCAATTCATTTATTTTTTTAAACTCTTTTTGAGGTAATAGAAGCAGTTTACGTGTAGCACTTTTGTTGGCCATGTCTGTGTTCTTGGATATTTGTTCCATTTTTTCCTGCTTCCTAGATTTGTCAGAAATATAACAATTATTAAAATAACATTATAACTGACCATTATAAAGACAAAATAAACATTTTCATTTGTTGTAACAAAGTAACTTTGCAAGGTATGAACAATTATGAACAATTATGAACTATGAGATCAGGGGGTCTGAAAAACAACTACTGTGAATTAATTTGAACAACTCCACTCCTAACCTCCAAATAATGTCTTGTTAACTATGCTAATACCTGTTTGATGTGCTTCCTGCATTTGGTGTGCTTGCTTCATCTGGATCATCCCATATCTGTAAAAAAAAAAAAAAAGAAGAAAAAAAGCCACTTGTTAAAATGAGTTAAAATTAAATGTTATGTAAGGAGACATGCAATTAAATGCACCCACCAAAGTGTCACTCTCATAATGCGGACTGTGAGATGTAGACTTTACTTGCACTTCACTGTCTTCACTAGAAGAATCCACAGAGCAGTCTTCAAACAACAATGAAAGTAATAAATTCACTTTGATTTAAACCAATTCGTGTAAATAGTGTTGTGTTTTATACATTATGTCTTTGTAAGATTTTCATTAAATTAAATATGCTTACCATTGGCTAAAAAGTCTTGAAATGTGCTTATAAACAGTGTTATTCTTTGATAAGCCTTTCCAATTGCTTCTTTGTACAGGTGTAGTTTGAAAGGGGTGTTTGTTCCTGGAATGTTTTTCACCTCTGAACCATCTGGGTACAGCAATACATAGGGGCCCTCTTCCATATCCTGATTAAAATCTCTTACTTTCTTTTCAGCTGTTGTGAGAAACAGACGTTTGGGTATTTCTCAGTGAGTAAATTCATAGCCGAGCGGTAGAACTTAGGGTTCATCATCAAGATGACACGGGTTCAAATCCCGCACAAACAAGGTCTGCTGTATATTTTATATTTATTTAGATTTGTCTAGCTCTAAAACTCTGTTACACCATACAGTTTTTTTTTGCTTATATTTATAAAATACAATTATCATGCATTTCCATTTCACACTAAGGAAAAAAAATAGTATCCAACAGAACGACTTTATATATAGCCTATATATATATATATATATATATATATATTAGGGGTGGAACGGTACACAGAAGTCACGGTTCGGTTCATACCTCGGTTCAGACATCATGGTTCGGTACGATTTCGGTACAATGGAGGGAAAAGCAAAACAAAAATGCAGAAGGCATTGTATTTTTTAAACAAGTTTTATTAATAAAGGCATAGAACCAGTTTATTTGTAGTGCACTGACAATAGTTTTATATAATTCGTTTATTAATTAAATTAATAAAAAGACAAAAAGACCTTGCGATATGTTTGGTAATTGTACCTGAATTAATTTAAAATTAATTTGCTATATTTCAGATCAATATATTTGTTTTCCTTAATTTTAATTAACATTATTAATTAACAATGTAACATTATTCTCATCTGAATTCACCTCCCTATAACCCAGAAAAGGGTTAATCTCTAAAAAAATAACCCATAATTTTGACCCAACACAAATAACCCAGAAAATGGGTTGAAGAAATAACCCAGGAGTTTTTAGAGAGAGAGAGAGAGAGAATCCTATAACCCAGAACATGGGTTACTCTTAGGAAAATAACCCAGAAACCCAAACAACCCAGGAATTGGGTCAAAATATTAGAGAGAGAGAGAGAGAGAGAGAGAGAGAGAGAGAGAGTGTGTGTGTCTGGGCATGTAGGGGTGAGAGAGAGAGAGAGAGAGAGAGAGAGAGAGAGAGAGAGAGAGAGAGAGAGAGAGAGAGAGAGAGAGAGAGAGAGAGAGAGAGAGAGAGAGAGAGAGAGAGAGAGATTTTGGTTGGGTGACAGTTGTAGGTTACAGTTTGACAAGAGTTTACAGTGTGACAAAAGCACAATGTTGTGTTTTATTGCGAGTGTACACAAATATAAGTAAACACTTTGCAGGTTTAATGATCTGTATGAACAAAATGACGGAGTATGTTTTTTATGTTTTTTTACGCGGCTGCGTCTCTCTCTCACACACACACACACTCCAGCATTGCAATCTTGACATCGCAGCCTGTTCATTATGCGGTCACACCAAACGCGAATAGAGCGTTAAATTCGCGTCTATCGCGTCTAGTTCGACGCTAGTCCAAAGCGAATAGGACGCGCGTATAAGCCAACGTTTGAAGTGAACGCGCATTCAGAGCAAAGCCGATGGTACAGATTATGTGTCCCTAAAGAACCCGCGTATCTAACAGTAGTTCCGCATTACATTAATTAATTTCCACGCGAGTTTTATTTATTTTTATACCGTGTATTCTCCGTGTAAATTCGTGCAATTTAATAAGTGTGAATTGCGACTTCTCTTTGTGTTAAGTCAGCCTCAGACTCCGATAGCCTGTGGGGGGTTGGAGGGACATTGCTGGACAAAGGTGTTAATGTTCCTCTTTCATATGGAGAGTTTCGGATAGCCAGCCTGATGAGCAGGCAAAATTATTGTAAGGATAAATCTGTGTCCAAATGTAGACCCCATATCTTATTAAATTATAAATATTGTAGTTTATTTATTGTAGCCTATTTAAAGTTTTTTTCACACAAAATTTCAATTGAAGTTATTGTAAGGTGAATTCAACAAGGCATGCTGTGTCTTTGAAGCAAAAATTAAAGCTTAAATAATTTTTTCGTGATTTGTATGGCTGACACGCAGCGACATATACAGTATTATCAGCTGTATGATGTGTTTTTACCCTGAAATGATTAATTTCGAGAGAGACGCGGCGCGCAGCGAGACTAAATAAACTTGTTAAAAAGAGATCCAGCGCGAGAGAGGCAAAGAGAAACGCATGTTTTTAATTTAATTATGTTTCTTTGGACAATTTTCGTTTTGTAGGCCTACTGTTTTAATTGTTTAATTTAGCTGTAATTTCTTTGGCAATACAAATTTAAAAAGTCGCAAGAATAAGATTAGCCTAGTGTTTCTTATTTTGCATCGCAAAAGAAATAAACTCTAAACAAGATGCAACCCTGTTTTACATTAAACAATTTAAACCTTGAAATGTTCGAACTTGGTTTCAAACTTAAGTAATTTTAGTGTTCTTTTGCATTACACAATAATTTAGCAGACTAAAGACGAGCTTCTTCATTTTCATTTTCTGATGCAATCGGCTGACAATCTTCCTTCATCAGTTTTTGTCGTTTGTGCAGCGGCTGCGGTTCTACAGGAATGTAGCAAATTTATGTTGTAATGATAATCAAACAAAACTCTTGACTTTAAATAAGTAAACAGATATAAACAGTTATCTATTTAAGCATCAAGGTGGGAAAATATAAACGTAGGACAACATCGGTTAACAACATGTATGCTACATTGAGATTCGATCTCGGGTCGAATGAAGCTCCTCGAAGCTCGTGTCGTTGCGTTGATCACTGAGCTGTCTTCTGTAGGCTATGCTGTTAAAGTTGTAAAGCCTCATTCATGTAGCCTAAATGTTTTTATTGCAATGTTTTATGTTGAAATGTTTTCATTATTTATTCAATTACATTTCAGTAGCCTAATTTCAGTATTGTGATTATGAATTATTTTAACTACGTTTCACTTGTTGAATTCTTCTGCTACCAGCTTTCAATCGCTCTGAATCAGCGCGGTGCGGCAGCAGATTACGCATTAGAGAGAATAAACCGGAATAAACGAACACTTTTCAGAGTCTATGATTGTAGCGCCTCTTAGCGGTAAAAGGCAGCAAATACACCACACATTTTACCGCCGCGGTGGAACGGCTGATGTGGGCATTGTCATGGCTTGCCTCGACATTTGCGTTTGAATAGCGCGCGTCCTCCGTGGGCGTGTCAGATTAACGCGTAATGAAGTGTAATGAGCTGGGGAAAAAAATACTGACAGCACTCTCTTTTCAAACAGATTGCATAAACTGAGAATATTTGTTTTTTATATAAATTACTTCATTTAAAAGAAGAGAATTTAAGCTTCATAAAGAAAAACCTCTCGTGCCTGTGTGACAAGTAATCGCGGAGTTACAGTTAATCTTAGGACGCGTTTCAGAATGGACTTCACTGACAGAGAGAACGCAGAACTCGCATCATGTTTGTTTTTCTTTATTTGGTGAAAAGCACAACACTTTGTTTTTATTGTGAGTATCCACAAAAAAAATAGAAACTTAACAGGATCTAATGATGTACAACACTTATATGTAAGATCAAAATTAACCGAGTATTTTGAGTCTCTTTTACACTGATAAGAAAAAAAGCGAGACAATCGCGCCGGCGCGATAGCCGACCCCAGGGGGTTAATCATTTAGTTGTAGCATGCAATGAGAAAGCGCATGTTATGTGTTTTCATTTCATTGTTATCTAAGATCTAAGTTAGAGTCAATACAACACCAAAAACGTTATCTCTTCGATGGAATAAGCGAGTTCTGGAATGCATTGCAATGCGAAAGCACATATGTTATGTGTTTTTATTGCACAGAGCAATAAGTTAGATATTTTATACAATCAAATGCAACAGTAGAGATGTTATCTCTTCGGAGTGAGTTCCCTTTCGAGGGAACTCGAACTGCGTCGGTGACGACACTAGGGGAACGCCCTTCAGCGTAGCGCGTCTGAATTTATGAATGAAACCGAATCCAATCCTATTGGCGTTGCGTGTGACGGCATACACGGATGTGTACAAAGGCACGCCGGCACAAGCAAAGTCAGCTTTTTGCTATTCAGCAAGCGCTCTGTGTATTTGTGAGTCTTATTTGGTGTCGTTTGTCTGCTTTTGAAAACTTCAGTATGGCTGATCAGTTCAGAAAGTGTGTGTTCCCGTGCCCTCGTTTTCTCTCGGCTGGGGATTCACATGAGATGTGTGTGTCATGTTTGGGAAGACAGCACGCTCAAGCAGCTCTTGAGGGGGCTGCTTGCGCTCATTGCGAGTCTCTTTCTGTGAGAGTGCTGCGATCTCGACTGGCTTTATTTACGGAAGATGGCCAAATGCGTTCTCCCCGCGGTTCGGGTCCCGCA